CTGGACACATCAGATCTGACATGAATTGTTGAACTGCTGAGGTATTGCACATTTGCTTCTACACCTCTTATTCACCCTGCCTTTTTTGTTCCTTTGTCCCTCCTTGTTTCTTTCTCCTCCTTCCTTGTCTTTCAAAGCTGGATATAAACTGCGTGGCTCGCTAGCTAGTTCGTTCATCTCAAGACAAGGTAAAACTACATCAATGTTGTCACCCTTCCACACCTCACCTCACCACCCCACCCAAAAAAAGGAGCTCGTCCATTGTGCCGTCTAGTTTTGTCGTCGTCGTCGTTGTTGTTTCGTACCTTATTTTTTTGTTGTTGTTTTGTTCAGACGATGTTCTTCCCCCCACCTGCTTTTCCCCCACAACCACCAAAAAAGGAACAGAAAAACCTGGAGAATGTTTTTGTCCCCCTTGAGACGACATGCACCCCCTCTCCCATGAAATCCCTATGATTTATATGTGTGCATGACATCATCCACATCCATAAACGGTGCATCTGGAAATGTTTGCGTTAAAGTGATGTGTCTTTGTGTTTCTGAGGACGCAATGTTTGGAAAAAATGTGATAATTATATTAGGGATGTGCAAAAGTATGTATTTTCTATTTGGACGGAAGTCCTGTATAATTGTACATATTATATAAAAATTTTCAAATTAATTTTTTACATTTGATTCATGATTTAAACTGATATTCATTTGATATAATTTCTATTTATTTTATGTATTTTGTAAATATTTTTGTAAAATTACTTATAATTATTTATATTTGTATTATATTATTTATATATTTTATTATATATATGTATTATATTTATATATTACATATTTAATTCTTATAATTTATTTTAAATAATTTATTACAAATTTTAATATACATAAATATTTTTTTTATATTTTGTGTGTGTGTGTGTGTTCACTGATTCAAATGAACCGTTTAGTGCAAGTCTCCAGTGAACTGAATTCACAAGAACCGGGAGATCTTGTGAGCGCGCGCGCGTAACTGATGCTGCTAAAAGTAAGTTACTAATGTCGAATTTTAGGATTAATTATTGTAACTGAAAATCATATTTAGGTCAAAGCTGTCAGTTGTTTGTGAACTAAATCTGCTGTAAAGGGTGATCTGTTTAAGCCCACTGAAATGCTTGAATGCAGACACATCAACATGAGTGTCTCTATGTTTTAGGTAAAAAAAAACCGAAACATTAAAATAACACAGACTAAATAAAATAACTCATGCATGTTCATATTCCCCGCTGCGTAACGTTAACAGTTTTATTAAAATGCTACGCATTTAGCGCTATGTGACGTCTGTTTTTATATTGTTTATCAACAGTATACATTTTTATATTGTTTGGATTAACTAGCCGAGTAGACAGATATGAATGTTTATTCATAACCATACTGAAAATAAGTAAATAATGTTAGCTGATGCAAACTGTCTAGCTAACAAGCTTGCTGGTGCTAAGTTGAGGTAATTTTTAGATATAAAGTCCAATTTTTATTCAACCACCTAGACAGATTACATCTGGGGGAAAAAATAAAGGATGTGATGTTCAGAACATGGTAACTACAGTAATTATCATAATATTATTTTGTATTTTATACATATATTATTTTATATTATTTTAACTTTTTATATATTAATTTTTATATAAATAACTAACCTCTAAATTCATCCACTTTAAATCACTTGCACTGTATATTAAAGCTAAAACATAAAAAATCTAAAAAAGATTCTAGATTAACTCACTTAATTTAGCTCACTACTCAAATACTTGGTTATTGGATGATTAGTTGACTATTCCACATTTCTGGCACATCCCTAATATATTTAAAGGTGGAAAAAAGGCAATACAAATAAGGAATACGGAGGGGTGCTATTGATTTAGAGCTGTGTCTCACTATTAAGTGCTTTTCACAGTTGCATCGGCACTAAGCAAGTGAGAGTCTGTTCCAGTGTGTGTTTGCTCGAATGTGAGAGGGAATGTGTGAGTAAACGAAGAGGGTGAGAGAGAAAGTGAGTGCGATTTGACCTCCCGATCACTTGCTCGCCCATGACAGGATCACATTTCTCGTCCAATCAGCGACTTTCATCCATTTTTCAGCAGTGGTGTTGAACGACAAAACAACTGTGACATCTCAAGCTCTTGTTATGCCTGCCATCTGTTTGATTAGTGTCCCTTTCCATGAATCTCCCCCGAGTGTGTTGGATGTGTGTTTGTGTTTATATATGTGTGTGTGTGGGCCACTCCTATCTTTATTTGACAGCGGAGACCTTCACTATGTGTTTAAAATTAGCCAGCCTTTCGAAAGTATGTCTGTGGCAGCAGCGTGCTTGTCATGACTCAGGGAGCGGGTGTCAGGTGATAGGCCGCTGTAGGGGCTACGGGGTGACGTCTACCCCTCATTCTGCTCACCGCACGTAACCGAGTGTCAGCACAGAGAGAGAACCACAGTCATACTCCTATGACCTCTCACCACCTACTCGAAAAATAAACATTTACAAGCCATTCTAAAATTCGTATTTTTAAAAAAAAAAATTTTTATTATCTTTAATTATGATTAAATTATTAAAATCACTTTAATAAATATTTTTAATAAACTGTATTATTTAACATCAAAAAGTTAATTAAGACTTATTGAAGTCTTAATACTTTTTGGTAGTTAAATATGTACATTTAATTCAAATAAATGTTGAATATTAAAATATTATATATATGTGTGTGTATATATATAGTGATAAAAAATATATAAAATAATACAAAATATATATGTATAATTAAATGAAATATATATATATATATATAACTAAAATGTTTCACTATAGTTAATATATAATGTAACATACCGGTAATTTATGATGTTAATATTATGTATAATAATACTTTTTAAAATCGAAATAAATTTAAAATTTATATAGCATTTTTCAAAAATTTTACTTATTGTGAGGGGGGAAAAAGTTTAAGGTAGAACATTGAGATTAACAGAACTTTGTGTCTTTAGTTTCTGTGTGGTAATTACTTGCATCATAAAAGAACAATTAAGACAGCAGTAATTATATCTATATTTTGAATAATTAATAGTCCACCTGTAAATTGTAGTAAGTGTGTGTTGAGACTAGTTTGGGTAGATTCACTGCCGACTTCAGCCGGGCCAGCACTGATTGATGTGCCAGAGGGGACGGAGGGAGCGCTACAGGACGAGAGCGATGGAGAGCAGCAGAGAGACGCACTCAATACAGAATTGCCTCCTCGCCCGTCTGGGTTTCGTCAATTTCTCAGACTTCAGGAAGGGAGGGAAGAGGAGAATCGGGCCAGGACCGGTACCCAGCGTGTAATAACGCCTCGGAAGGGAAAGTGCTGACTACGGCCGGGCTTTGATTCCAACTGACAGAACCTTTTCAAGTGTTCATTACTCACTCTGAGACATCAGACCCCGTCCACAGCAAACACAGACACTTGCACACACACAATCAAAGCCAACTGTTCGCCAGCCCACAGGTTTCATTCTGTTTTCTCTTTGGACTTCCCCACTCTACAGGCACCAAAATGTTCCCCCTCAGAACCACATCCAGAGCTCAATCGAAGAACGCAGCTTCCTATATGGTGTCTAGCTGGTCCAAACGTGGTCATTAGTTGGTCCAGATGGACCATTGGCTGATGGACCTCATTTTGACCTGGTAGACCATGTTGGTCAGGCTAGATAGGTTTGGTAGACCACCTTTAGACCAGCAACAAACTAGCTATCTAGGGCTGGATGTTGCAAATTATCATATCATATTTGAATTTAAATGATTTCTTCTCAAATTTTGCAATAATCATTTAATAATTATGTTAATCATTCTCGTACTTCCACA